CCCCAAAACCCCAAAACCCCAAAACCCCAAAACCCCTATAAGCTGAATCAGCCAAATAAAATAGAAATCTAAATTGAATTGCTCTTAAACATTAATGATTATAGCCATTTACCTAATTATTGTTTCCAATAAATAATTTTACTTGATTCTCAGTTTGCCTTTCCAAAACATTTCAAAATAGCATTGAGTAGAGTGAAAAAAATAATAAATAGAGCTCCTAGCAGATCACTAGTTTTTACAGTTTCTCCAAAAAGCAATGCATCTATCACAAATGAGTTAAAGACAACTAAGTAATTTATTGCTGCAGATCTGGCAGCTTTTTCGTATTATAGGGAGATGCTTTGACCTTCTTACTGCACCCAACTGCATAAACCACATAAACTAAGCATAATAAAATCTGACCTTGACAATGGGTATGATGGTATATTTGATAAAAATAAGGCTAGGGTAGCACCAACAGCTGACATCATTGCAAAATAAAAAGGATGAATAGATTGATGGATATCCTTTCCAATCTTTCTGCAAACCAAGAATACAAGAGCATTGTTAAATGAACCAAAGATGGCAAAAAACACTCCAGTCAAAAATTTATTATCTATTGGCTGCTTAACTCTAGTCATGTGAGGAGAAGTGTCTGGATTAGTGAATATCAAATAGGGCTATGTTAGTAATAGAACTCCAAACATCGCAGAAAATATTCCAACAATTTCAAGTCTTCCTAATTTCTCACCCAACAAGAAATAACATATAGTTGCAGTTATTATCGGGGAAGTATAATAAAGACTAACTGCCATGGACAAATTTAGGTAATCAATAGCAACGTAGAAGCATGTGGAGCCGCAAAAGCCAAATACAGCTCTCATGAATATATACTTTCCAAGTGGTTGAGGGAAATCTATCACATTTTTTCCATCCTTTTTAAGATGAGCGTAGCATCCTGCTGCTAGAAATAAGGACCTTACTATCACTGCTTGCAAAACATTGACCTTTGAAGTCTTACTTTGCTCTTTTATGATCAAATTCATAATGGTGGTCATTAGAGCTGCTATCATCATCCAGAGCTATCCTTTAGCACGGTTTAAGTCGAAGAGTTTAATTAGTCCGGGATACTGCTCATTCAGGACTTGATTTTATTTGACGATGTCCATCTTTTGAAAGTCATTCTAGTTTTTTGTATCATCAGAGGCCTCGGTAGTGTGATCAATATCGTCATTTTCATCTTCACTGTAGTCAAATTTATGATCCACAGACTGATAGTAGTATTACTTAGTCTGCTATCTCTCTGAATCTTGAGCTCCTTAGTAGCAACTATTGATCACCTAATCCTTCATTAAGTCTATCAAATTATACTAATAGTTTATTTATTTTTAATTATGGTGTCATTTACTTAACTAACCAATCTAGATTATAATTTATGCTTATGGGGTTTTGGGGTTTTGGGG